CCCTCCCTTCCTCCCCAACATTCCACAACAGTATCATCATTAATAAAAACATTTAAAATAAAATAAAAAAGAAAGATAACATATATGAACTTTCTTTAAAAAGCAGCCATAATATAAAATTGCAGCTCAAAAAAATAATTAGTAGATAGTGGGCTTGTTTCCTATTGTCATAAATTAAAAATGTTGGATAATGAGATAGTCAATAAATGAGAAAATGAGAAGTGTGTAAAAAAAAAAAAGGAAAAGAAAGAAAGAAATATCAAGCATATAGCCCCACTAAAATTAGGCCTTTTCATATTATTATTTCTATTTACTCTGGTTTTGTTCCTGAATTTCACTCTAATAATTTTCAATTTGAAAGAATGTCTCTACCCTATTGGAATTGTGAGTTTTCTTTCTTGATTATGCTAAGCTGGTAACAATCGTTATTCTTTTGCAGACTGAGTTCTCAGCCTGGATCTCATCTATGAATCAATTTCATTTTTGTTTAGCTTTGCCACATACGTTCACTTTACCCTTAGCGTAGCCTTTGCTGCATACCTTCATGACATCCTAACTCTTGACTCTAGTTACAATCCATCTGAAAGGTGCAAGTACCTTTTCTAAGATGTAATCTTAGCTCAAATATAAGACATAAGTGTAGAAAAAGGTAACCATTAGATCCATTATTGTAAGGATATATTATAATAATTAGTAACTCTCTTAGTATTCAGCAGCAAAGTTTCTTATAATGTTTACATTCATAGATAACAAAATTACTAATTTGGTATTTAACAATAAAACCCAGTTGCTATCAAATCTAATCTAACTCACAGTGTACAAGAGGTTAATATGGTCAATTGATAATCTAAAGATTGGAGGTTCCTTAGAAGAAAAAGACAGATCAACTTTAAAAAAAACCAACCAACCAAACAAACAAACAAACAAAAAGCAGCCATTTGAAAGTCAATGGAACGCAAATCTGTAGGTAAACGGTAACACAAATGGGGTCACTATTTAACTATGTTGTTGTAGTTGTTTACCATCAAGCCAACTACTACTCATAGTGATATTATGAACAATGGATCTAAATCCTCCCCTATCCAGTGCCATCATTCTCACCACCTATCAAGTGTGTGTGTGTGTGTGTGTGTGTAAAAAAAATATATATATGTAATTTATACACACACACACAAAAGAGATGGTGAACCCATTGTTACAGTCGCTGTGTCAAAATATTTTAGTACTGTGCAGAATTGATTCAGAGCATCCTTCAAAAGAAAGTACAATAGGGTAAAGCATATTTTAAGGCAGTCAATTTTGTCAAGGATATTGAAAGTATAACAGGCTGAATTAGAATTTCTGTTTAATGCAAAGATACATATGTAATTATAAAACATATCACATACCTCCTTCCATTTATTGGCTTTCCATGAAGGACATCTACCAGATCTACATGCTTTGTGAGTTTGTGGTCTCCGTAGATGACTACAGTTCTTTTCTTCTAATTTTCTTCGGAAGTTGTCAATGCAAAACACCTCACGTTGCTTTGTACCCTTTCCACAGGAGGTTGAGCACTAGACAAGAAATATGAATCTCATTTATTCCTTTCATCCTGGTTATCTTAAATTTCTATTCAAGCAGCACAAAATGAAATAATAAAAACATCAATGTACTTTATGTAGAAACAAAGTTATTAGTATTTGTCAGGGATAAGAGTGAGCAAGCAGTAAGAGTATTTTTGCTCAGAATGCATTATTTAGAGTATATTCATAGTGGTGGTATAATTTGTAAAGAAAGAACTAAAATGTTTGCACAACATGAAGAATGTAATCAATATCTTCAAAGTTGACATGTAATATTGTGTTATTTTTTGTGTTATTATAATAATATTAGCACATTGCTTTAATATTTTCATTTATTTCTAAACCCAGGATGACATGGATTGACACAGTAACTGAGATAATGTGGATAGGTGTGTGGCAGACGGTGAGACTAGCTCAGGATATAGCAGAGCTCAGAGCTATTGTACATAGTTTCGCTATGAGCCTCAGGTGACTCAATAATACCTAACAATAACAACAACATAGGTGTTGTTAGTTAGATAAAATTGGAAATTTTACATTTTCCATACTGCTCTTAAGCTGAAATTGGCATTGTCTCATAAAGATATTCACCCATTCAAACAAAAATCTTGATTTCCTATGATATGCACACTTCCAGCACAAAAATACTGCACAAAGTAGATTGATTCCTTGTAGATCTTCTGGGCTTAATGACTATACTAGCTGCTGTTACCATTCATAATTCCCTAAAACTTATTTTCAATTTCATATGTATAATTACCATCCATCTACTCATGTTGTTGTTGTTGATTGTCTTTGGGTCAAGCACGATTCATAGCAACCCTATGAACAAAAGGACTGAAATCCCTCTACAACTATCGACATTTATCAAAGTTCATGGAGTTTGCGGAGGCAAGTTGTTTAGGAAGTGGATGCCACTCCTGCTTCCAAACCTGTCATAGAATGTTATTGGTTGAGATGCCTGTGATGCATAGCAACCCTGTGTACAGCAGCTCTGAGCCCTTCTCTTCCAGTTTCACTAATTCTGGCACACAAACCCCCATTACCCCAGGCACTGTATCAATCTATCCCATCCAGGGTCTTCTCCTGCACTGTTCTCCCACCTTTCTAAGATTGATGTCATTCTCCAAGGATAAATCCCTCCTGGCCATGTACCAAAGTAAGAGAGGAGAAGCTTCAAAATCCTAGCCTCCAAGAAGAGACTTGGTTTCACCCTCTCCAAGAACCATTTGTTTTCTTGGCCGTCCTTAGTATGTTCAAGACTCTTCTCCAGTACAACTCAAAGGCATCTATTCTTCTGTCATCCGTAGTCATTGTCCAGCTCTCTGAAACATAACAAGTAATTGAGAATACCATGGCCTAGATTAAGCTCATCTTTGTATCCAGATTGACATCATTGCTCTTCAGCACTCTGAAGGGGTCCATGACTGCAGATGTTCCCAATGCAATTAATCTTTTTACTTCCTGACTGTTGATGTTAAGAGTGTTGATTGTGTATATAAGTAAGCTGTAATTCCTAACAACCTCAATCTCTTCTCCATCTATTATGGTGCTTCCAATCGGCCCAGTGGTGAGAATCTTTGTCTTCTTTATGTTAAGCTTCAAGCCATATTAAAGACTATAGTCCTTGACCTTTTGCAGCAAGTGCTTCAGGTCTTCTTCGGTTTCAGCAAGCAAGGTTGTGTCATCTTCATATCGTAGTTTGTTAATGAGTCTTCCTCCAATCTTTATGCCACACTCCTCATAAAGCCCTGCCTCCCAAATGATCTGTTCTGCATATAGATTGAAAAGATATGGTGTCTTTGTCTGTTCTCTGGCAATTAAGCAGCAACACCCTGATGGGAGTAAGCACAATGGAGATACATCACTCCAGGAAAGGATCAGAGAGTCAATCCAGCTCAATTTTATTGGAAACTTCAGAGCACTTATATACAACCAGATAAACAGAAAGACAGGATAGGGTGGGCTTACAGATGTGGGATATGTGCCTTCGTTAGGAGAACCTCAGCCTCGTGCAGACCACTCTCAGTTCAACAGACACGGCAGCCATCTTTCCAGGTGGCATGCTTTCTCAATCTGGCACATCCAAACAAAGGGGAGCTTTCTCTACCCTGTATTAAAGGCCCTTGAGAGGCTTGCACTTATCTGGAATTTAGGTGATCTGTCCTGGCCAGAGACCCTCCCTTCCTCCCCAACATTCCACAACAGTATCGGAACAGGATGCATCCCTGACAGACTCCTTTCCTTATTTTGAAACATGCAGTGTTTCCTTGCTCTGTTCTGAGGACTGCTTCTTGGTCTAAGTTTCATATAAGCACGATCAAGTGTTCTGAGATTCCCATTTTCCTCAAGGTCAGCCACAATTTATTTTGATCCATATAGTGAAATGTCTTTGCATAGACAATGAAACACAGACATTCTTTTGGTACTCTCTGTTCTCTGCCAAGATCCATCTGACATTGGAAATAATATTTCTGGTGCCAAGACCTCTTCTAAACCCTGTTTGTATTTTGTAGTTCTCTGTCAATGCACCGTTCAAGTCTTTTCTGGATAATCTTCAGCAGGATTTTGCTAGTGTGTGATATTGGTGATGTTGTTTGATAATTTCCATACTCTGTCTGGTCACCTTTTTATGTAATGGAAATAAATATGGATCTCTTCCAATCAGTTGGCCAAGTATTTGTCCTCCAGTTTCCTTGGCACACCTTGGTGAGCACATGCAGGACAGAATCTGTTTGCTGAAATACGTCAATTGGTGTTCCATCAATTCCTGGGACTTTGTTTTGCCAAGTCCTTCAGAGCAGCCTGCACTTCCTCCTTCATCACCATTGCCTCTTGATCATATGTTGTTTCTTGAAATTCTTCTGTGTCAGTCAATTATTTTTGGTAAAATGACTCTATATACTCCTTTCATCTTCTTTTAATGCTTCCTGAATCATTCAATATCCTGCCCATAGAATCCTTAAGAATTGTAACTCATGGATAGAATTTATTCTTCAGTTCTTTCAGCTTAAGAAAGTTCAGCCCTTTTGATTTTCTGACTCCAGCTCCTTATACATTTCATTATGATATTTTGCCTTGTCTTCCTGAGCAGCCCTTTGAAATCTTCTATTCAACTCCTTAACTTTATTTCTTCCATTTGGTTTGGCTACTCGGCACTCTAGTGCAATATTCAGTCTCTTCTGACATTCATTTTGGTCTTTTCTTCCTTTTCCTTCTTTTTAATGACTTTCTGTATTCTTAATGAACAAAATTCTTTATACCTTCCCACAGCTTATTTGGTCTTCATTCATTAGTGTTCAAGGCCTCAAACCTATTCCTGAGTTGGTTTTTAAATCCATGGGATGTAGACTGGAGGTCAAATTTTTATTCCTATGGACATGATTTAACCTTCTTGAGTTTTAATTTGATCTTGCTTATGAGCAGTTGCGGGCTTTTCACAATCAGCACTGGACTAGTTTTCACAGCTTATATTGAACTTCTCCAACTCTTCCTTCTACAGATGTAATCAATCTGATTCCTGTACATCCCATCAGGTGAAATCCATGTGTATAACCTGTGTTCATAGTTCATTTATTTTCCCACACTGGAATATTTCGGCTATCATAACACACACAAAAAGGTGATTGTTGTCGAGTTGCTTGGACTCATAGCAACCCTATGTACAACAGCCCTAAACTCTGCTCTGTCCTGTGCCAATCGTACTATCTCTGATACACCCATCCTGATTATTCCAGTCACTGAATCAATCCACCTCATAGAGGGTCTTCCCCTCCTACGCTGTCCCTTCACCCTCCCAAGCATGATGTCCCTCTCCAAGGACCTGTCCCTCCTTACAGCATGTCCAAAGTATGTCAGATGAAACCTCAGAATTCTTGCTTCCAAGGAACAGCCCGGTTTTACCCTCTCAAGGATGAATCTGTTTGTTTCCTTTGCAGTCCATGGTACCCTCAATACTCTTCTTCAGCATCAGAGCTCAAGGCATCAATTCTCCTTCTATCTTTCCTAGTCATTGTCCAACTCTCTGACACATAGCAAGTGATTGCAAAGAACATGGCCTGAATCAGACACATCTTAGTCTCCAGAGAGACATCATTGCTCTTCAGTACTTTGAACAGGTCCCTAACAATGGATTTTCATATAGCAATACGTCTTTTAATTTCCTGGCTGTTGGTGTCAAGAGTGTTGACTATGGAGCCAAGCAAACCAAAGTTGTGAACAATCCCTATCTCTTCACCATCCATCCTGATGCTGCCAATTGGTCCAGTGGTGAGAATCTTTGTTTTCTTGGTATTGAGCCTCAATCCATATTGAAGGCTGCAGTTCTTGACCCTCTGCAACAAGCGCTTCAGGTCCTCCTCAGTTTCGGCAAGCAGGGTTGTGCCATGTGCATAACACAGATTGTTGATAGATCTTCCACCAATCCTGACGCCACTTTCCTTCTCATAGAGCCCAGCCTCCCAGATGATCTGTTCAGCATACAGGTTGAAAATGTATGGAAACAAGACACATCCCTGGTGTATGCCCTTCCCAATTTTGAAGCATGCAGTGTTTCCTTGTTCTGTTCTAATGACTGCCTCTTGTTGTAAGTATAGGTTTCGCATTAGCATGATCAAGTGTTCTGGAATTCCCATTCTTCTCTGAGTCAGTCACAAGTTTATGATCCACACAGTCAAACACCTTTGCATATCACTGAAACACAGATAAACATTCCTCTGGTATTCTGGTATTATGATTAGGAGAGCAGAAACTTAATGTTTTGAAAAGTAAATTTAACTAATGGGGTTTTTATTAAATTTTAAAAATAACTAAAATGTCATTAAGACATAGATGAAACATCTTGAAACTGTTTGTCAGTCTGTTGTCATTTTATAAGCCAGGACACAGTGTAGTGTACTCTGGTATCCAAAATGAGCTCTGCCACTAGTTGAGTATTTTAGGCTGAAATCAATACCTATATCTATATAGGCCTCAATATCTATACTAACAAA